TAAAGTCATTATGTTTTAAACAAATTTCCAAAAGTTCAAGAATTTCTTTATCTGGTCTATCAGGATCGGGCTTTCGCTCGAATGCCCGCTTTACAGCGCGTAATCCAGAATCATTGTCAATTAGTATACATGCTTTGAACGTCTAAAGAGACTAAAAGGGCATTTTCTGGGATCACGGGTTTCTTTACCTTTTCCACAAAGTCGTTGGTGTCTTTGATATAGGCAGGATGTTTTGAGGCAAGAGGCAGTACAAAGTGATCAATGTATTCTGATACCCTGTACGATTCGCTTCCACAATCGGAAATAATTGGGCCACCTTTTGGGATTTTATTTGGAGAGAACCACTCAGTTTCAGGATTTTTGTGTATTTTTGGGAGGGTATAAAGATGTCTCTGATGTGGTTCTTTTTCTGGCTTTAAATAATCAAATTGTTTTTGCTTAATGTAGTCTTTCTCAAGTAAATTTTTCAAAATATTTGTTATTAATTTAGAGGTTTCTTTGTAGATCGGATCCTGCAAACGAGTGTAATGTTCAGGATTGCTTATTTGAGATTCGGCTTCTTTAACATAATCCTGCCTATTTAAGATCACACAACAACTGCCCTTGTCGCTTTTCTTGATAACAATATTCTTGTCATGTTTTAGAGCGTTCAAAACAGTACGGAAGAAGCTAAAGAAACCAGATTGGTCATTTTTTGAAGATAATATCTGCCGCTTCACCTCTATTGTTAAGGCCCACATGAAAAATAATGTTGTCAGGATCAATGCTATTCGATGCTGGTTGCTGCTGGTGTTTTTTAAGAAATTGGATGATATGGTCTATTTTGGCTCCTGGGTATGATTCAACTTGAGTGTTTGAGTTTATTTTGGATTTGTCGATTCTGTTCAGATTAGATGATCCCAATATCAAATTTGATTTGGTAACAGCAGGTAATGACCATGATTCTTTATTTTGGTTGGCATGACGACTTGGTAGTTGCTTAGGATCACAATCGATCTTGCGTCAGGAAGATTTAGAATTCTGCGAAGATGATTGTCGAGAAGGAGATGGTGAAGAGGTTAAAGGAGATGAACTTGGCTGAAAAGAAGATTGTTGGGAAATACTCAAAGATGGAATAGATTGAAGAGTAACCAGTAACTATTCAATATAAGGCACTGGCACAGGGTTAAAGTAGTAGTAGGTGTAATGCTGAACAAGGTGTTGAAAACCAAATTTTTGAAAACAATTCAGTATAGACAAATGACCCTCCAAGATATTTTGGTTGAAATCCCCCATAATAACATAGTCTGAACCAGATTCTTGTAATTCAACTAATAATCTTTCTAACATTGGAAGAAATAAATCTAATTGATAAACTGGTGGTCTATAGATAACAATTACGTTAATATTTTTATCCAAAATATTTAAAGCAATGTGTTCAATGTAGACATTTTTGTTTTGCTTATAATATACTCCTACTCCTCCGTGCCCCTTTTCTTTCAAAAATTTGAAATCTCTAGTGTCATCATAGCTGTTTGCTTTTATTTCCTCAGCCTAACTAACACCAATAACCAAAACTGTTGTGTGTATCTTGCAGATGGAGTTCTATTAATGGTACAGAAAAAATTCGAACAGGTTAATGTATCAAAAATTCACTACTCTATATGAGTGTATGTTAAATTATTGTAAGTGAAAATTGAAAAAAAAAAGTGAAAAAAAAAAGTTATTTTTTTAAGTGTTAAAAGATTACATAATCAGATTGATTAATCTGTTTATGACCCAAACTACTTCACACCTGCATGTCAAAAGTTCATATGGATAGCTTTCCTATCATATTATATAACCTGTTATAACACCTGTCAATCATTTTAATCCCCACAATCTACAGATTTTTATCACATTTTTTATAAACATTTAACACTTTTATGCCTATTTTCACAAATTCAATTTTGTATTAAACCACCCATGTCACATATCGTTGAAAAGACAAAATTGAGTAGATCCTGAATATACAAACCATACTGCTAGGAGTTAATTACATTGTAAGTTAGAACCCTCAGTCGAAAAAAAAAAAACCAATATTTTTAAAACATATTTTAATGGATTATTGTCATATATCATTGAAAAGATAATCAAAATGGAATTACAAAATTGAAAAAAATATTTTCTGTGTTTATTAGAAAAGGTCATACAGCCGTCCAAAGTTGTCAAAAATGTTAATTTTTGAATGGCTATTTAACCGGAAGTTGATATTTTTCAACCAATATTAGTACACCTGTGGATAGCTGAGGTCAAGAACATCCTACAGTGAAATTTTCAAGGTCATCAAAGGTCAAGGTCACATGGTGTGGCCTTTTGAATTTTCAAAAAATTCAAACGAATATAAAAAAAATTCAAATTCGAAATTCAAAATTCTGTTCCAACAAACTGTAGACAAGGTTAAAAAATTTTAATAGACACAAATCATAAAAATCGGACAAAAAATGGAGGACTAATTAATTTTTTGCTAAAATGGGTCAGTCCGAGACGACAGCTTATGCATCACTTCGGGTTTGGATTTCTGCTAAGTGCATTCTAATTATGACTGACAGACAATATATATGGTTTTTGCCAACATCTGAAATTTACACCAGAAGTGGGGGTGCCAGACGTGACTTATAAAAACCGGAAGTTCTCAAGCAAAAACCGGAAGTGATAGAAAAATTTCGATTGTATAGATTTATTTGTATGGACATTCTGTATATGTCCTGTGAATTTCAGATCAATCGGATAATTAGCGGCTGAGTTAGAAATTTTGAGCTTTTTTGAAAATTTTGGATTCAAATTTTTTTGACAAAAATATTTAAAAATTGAATTTTTTTTTTATCCTCACCAGATATGTCTTATAACAATGAACATATTAAAGAAAATTTCAGGTAAATCGGTTCATAAATAAGCCCTACAGACTTGATGCAAAATATCTGCACATTATGCAATGGCACACTTCTGGTTTACCAAAAATTGAGTTTTAGATATTCATTTTTGATTCCAGGTCATTTAAAAATGTTTGGTGAAGACAATTAGGCTATACCATTTTTGATTTTGTTCTAGGGACGTTCCCAAAAAAAACTTGAATCCTCTTATCTAATATGTGCTTGTATGACGTTATAAATTGGGGTATTGACATATTTTTGGGTGAAGTTTTTCTGTACGTTTCAGCAAAGTCTAAATTTTAGTTCTTTTTGACAGGCATTATATATTTATGTTTGTTGCAAATTTGTCAAATATAGATGTGGAAATGCAGAAAGTGTTTGGTATCATCTTGAGCAGTCTAATGTTTTCCAGAGCACTACTCCTAATATTGGTGGGGATGAAGTTGGTTAAGGTGAAATTTAAAAAAAAGATCCATATTGCAGACGTTGAGTTCTTCTCCTGTCCGTTATTTTTATAGAGGTCTCTCAAGGTTTCTTCTGTGATTCTTTTTGAGTAAGTCCCCAATGATCATGACCCCTACAGAAGATCAGTTTCCAGAACTCATTGATTGTTTGTTTTATATTTTGGTTTGTACCCTGTGAATCAACTGTGCCTTTGCTATAGCTATCTGAATATAATAAACTGGTATTGTCAAGAGAGGTTAAATGGTCTAGCTAAGTATATCTGGTAAAATAGTTTTTAATATTGTGTGTTGGTACATGTGTAGGTAACAGATCAATTGATTAATGTTAAGCCTGATTTAGTATATAAAAAATCTTGATTAATCTATAGGATAAACAAGATAAACAGTATTAGAGACAATATCAGGTGGCTTGACTTGTTTTTATCCTAATATCATCACTGAAAACAACATAACAGCTGACATTTTAAAGGATTACCCTACTACCAAGTTATTTATTCAGATAAATTAAGGTCATGAGTTTGCTAATATTAAAAGTCTCTTATATGATAGGTTCATTTTACTAATTTTGATTTTTTTTCATTTGTAACGATGTATACATATCTAAAGATTTATAAATAATATATATTAACTACAGTTTGAGTGCTATGAATGGAGAAAGAAAATTGTTTAATTTTAATCTGCCTTTGTTTAATTTCATACATAAATTGGGCTTTTGGAGACAGACAGATAAAATTATATGCAGCCACACTGACTATTAATAACATGATCCACAAGGCAATATTAAAAGTTTCACAACTCAAAGAAATGGATTTCACAAGTTGTAATGTTGGAAATAAAAAGGAATTTTGTTCCAAATGATAAAGAAGGACAATGCCATGCAGCGTTACTGATACGAATTTTGCCAGGACAGTGGCATTGTCCTTCTATTTTTGTACATGTGTTTGAATATATGGACGAACAATAAGGTCGACTTGACATTTCTGTAGCCCTGTTAACATAACTTGTTTGAATGATGTAAGCTACAGTTTTAATTTGATTTAATGAAACTTGACCAGGTGATGTTTGGTTTAATAGCTTTATTGCTCCCAAGTTTTTAAATTGTCTTTGAGATAATGAAAATGTCTTGGGATAGAGGCTAGAGTTTTCATTCAATTAGGATGTGTGAATGGTAGACAATCAGATATATTGTCCAAGACCATTAATGGTAAACTTGACATGATAATGTAGATTGATTCTTTATAATGAGTTGTGAAATCCACTATAATGACTTGTGGTATTCAATATTTTGACTTGTGACACACATTATTATGACTTGACTAATCCTTAATTATCATTTGTGCAAAAAGTATTTTAGGTGTGCCTAGAACGATTGACTAGTTGATGAATAATGAAATAAACTATGACAAAATACAATTAAATCTTTTTTGTCAAAATGTCCTGTTTTTAAACTTAGTTAATGTGGAACTACGTGTAATTATAATTATTAATTATTTAAAATTATATATTTGAAGTACTACAAATTCTATTAAATCCAATCATAATTTATAGGCATGTTAAATCCAAAGATAGACTGTATAGAGGGCTTTCCTCTGAAATAGTTCAATATCACTTTTTTTTTAAGTTGCAAGACTTAATTATATTTCAGGGTAGTTTTCAATGAAGTTATTCAGACATCTAAATATTTTATGAGAGACTTGACAGTTATTAAACCAGAATGGTTATGTGAATTAGCACCTCATTTTTACCATTTTGGAACTGTAAGTATTTTGTACCTTAACATGTTAACATATACGGTACTGTTGTAACCCCTGTCTGTCCACCCTCAATTGGCTTGTTTATTTGATAGAGGTCCCAATTAATCTGTATGGTATGCTATGCATTTTAGTGAGTTCCCTGGCATGATTAGTATTTGTGATATTTTTGATGTACAATTTTTGAGATATTATAGCCAAAACAGGTAAATATTGGTTTGTAAACACAATATTTTTGGTTTTATTTTGATGAAACTTGGTATATGTTTGTATATTGGTGAAATCTTGATTTTCTAGAAGCTTGATATTCTATAATTTTTGATGAACAGTGTTTTAGTTATTGACTTTCATTTAGTTGAAATATTTGAACTTTGTCCCATGGGCACTTTAGAGGCTAGTCTTAATCTGTGTGAAAATAACTTGCTAAGCTTATGTATATTGATGGAATCTTGCAGGATTTCAAAGTCAATTTTTGGATAAATGATTCGTGAGTTATTGCCCTTGCAACAAAATTGATTTGTATGTAAATAGACTACAATTCAGTAGTTTAAGCTGACAAGAATCTTCTACTGTGTTAGTTAATAGCATTTTGAATGACATAGTAAAAGAACTGTATTTCCAAGACCAATTCCAGACGTCTTGAGTAATCAGAATATAAATTGATCAAGTTTTCATTTATTGCTAAAATATACTGTATAGAATACAAATTTTGGATGGTTATTGTCAATGTTTCATTAATGAGCAAGATCAGTTATCAATGTTTTTACTCTTATTTTCGTTCAAAATGCAAACAGATTTTCTAATTGCCCACTTGCAAGACTGTCTGAATTCATTTTTGTTTTATTGATTCTATTTTAGGAGAAAGAGTTAGCAGTAAAAAGATTTAAACCAGGCTGATCATGTGTCTTTGACTCTTATTGGTGGTGTCCATTTCATTAAAAAATAAAATTGAGTTATTTGAGTTGTTCAATTGTCAATTAGGATTAAAGATAATAATTTATAAGCTGTAATATATATGCTATTACAATAAAGAATTTTATATTTTATTCATCATATCATGTTTCAGAAAATGTTCATGCTCTAAAAATGGAAAATAAACTAATTAGACAAAATTATAATTTTAAGTGTTTTTTTATTACTCTTTTGTTAAAGATAACAAATCACTTTTTTAATTGATCTGAAATTACAAAACATTAATTACAAATTTATAACTGATATCTGGCATTGTGAAGCAGTAGATTAGCGATTAGGTTGATATCAGTTAATTACCACTCTGAACTGATATGTGTTGTCATTCTTAGCCATTGACTCTGAACCAAATATGTAACTTTTTGTTATAAAAATCTTAAATGGACCAATGTGAGGGGATGTATTTAAATTGATGCGGACAGCTTTTCATGATTATTTTCTAATTTAAACAATAAAAATAAAAACCTTACTTGCTGTGGTTAGACACATGTTTGATAACCTGGAGGTCCTGGCTTCAATCCCAGGGTTTTAATTTCAGTTTGCTTTTAGTCAATCATGAAAACATGGTACTAGAGCTGAGAGATTGGGATGGGGAACGTTTGTTAATACATATGATCTAAGGTTTACAGTTCAGGGGACATAATACAACCTATGTGGATATTATTAGTCAAAACAGAACACAAAACATTTCAATACTAAATTTTTTGTAGAAAAGTAGTTCCATCACAGCTTTTACTTTAAGAAATGGAAGTTATCTGCAATTTGACTGCAAATGCCAAACTTGTCAGACATGACCATACTCATGGTTCCCAAACAAAATTGAATTGGATGGATGATCAGAGGGAGAATGACAATATAACATTATGACTGAGAGTAAAACAGACACAGATGACCAAAAAGGAAATATAATATCAAAATAACACATAAATTGTATTTGGTGAATATAAATGCAAAAGTATGAAATTGCAAAGAAATAATTTGACCCTGCAAATCAACACTGCTTGCTAGCAATCATGATTTTTTAATATTACTCTAGGTCTTGCTGTTGGTACTGATGTTCATTCATTATGATTTGATAAAATCTATTTATATTTGGAGATGAATGATAGTTTTGTGCTTCTGGTAAATTTGCATGAACAAATTGTAGTGGTTGAGCCAAAGGTTCGGAATATGCATCAGAAGATGTAGGCTTTCCATCATCATTAATTTCTGTATTGTATGCTATATTAGGTACATCATTACTGTCCCATTGTATTTCTACTATTTGATTATCTGAGACAAAACTTCTGGTACTAGTGGTTGTATTTATGATAGTACTGTGTTCTTTATTATCATATTCTGTATCTCTTATTTCACCCTCTTTCATTCTGGGTTTTATTTGTACATATTGTAGCTGAGAAATATTTATTTTAGGTTTTTTTGGATCATCACCTCGCTTCTTTCTTTCTTTGGGCACTATAATTTGAGTTCCTTCTTCTGGTTTAACTGGATCATTTTGACGTAAATACAGACCAGAATATTCAGCTAGTTTGTCTAAGCCTTGTGGTGTGACTATGTTTTCATGTTCTGTTATTAAATGGGATCTAAAAGTCTGTGTGTCACTACAACCATAGTTACAAAATTTACATGGGTAGACAGGCAAACCCTCATGTTTTTTTGTCTTTAAAATATGCTTCCGGATGTTTTCATGAGTATTACAAGCGTGAGGACAATAAGGACATTGAAATGGCTTTGCTCCTATATGAATTCTCATATGACGTTTAAGATGTGTTCCATTTCCAGCTTTGTATGTACAATATTCACAATTATATCTTCTTTCTCCAGTATGTGTTCTTTTATGTCGTACTAATCGGGATTTTGTTGCAGCAGCAAAACCACATGTATCACACAAATATTTCTTTTCACCTGTATGTGTTACCATATGCATTTTTAGTTCATTTTTAAATACAAAGCTCCAAGTGCAACCTTTGTAAGTGCATTTAAATTTTCGTTCTCCATGACGTATTAGATGTAATTTTAGTTGTTTCAGTAATGGAAATTCAACACCACATTCTTCACATCTATGAACTTCTTTACTTTTATGTTGATCCATATGAAATCTATATGAATTTAAACGTCTAAATTCTTTATTACAAATACTACATGTTAGTTCAGTTAGACCAACATGTACCATTAAATGTCTGCGTAAAGATAGTCTGGCTATAAATTTTTTATCACAAATATTACAAGCAAATGGTTTTTCTCCTGTATGTAATCTAAGATGTTCTATAATTCTTTCACAATGTACAAATTTACCACATTCTGGACAAGAAACTGATGCATCATGTGCCATATTTTTTATTTGTTTCAAATGTTCACCATACAATTCATTTACTTTTGTATTTCTACCATATATACTGACTAATTGTCCTTCAGTTGATACATGATTGTGGTAAAATTCAACATGTAAATTCCTCCATTTCTCATCTGCAAACTTCTTGGAGCATTTTGGACATTCAATTACACCAGATTTCTCCCCTTCTTCATTATCAAGATTATTTTGATGCTGTTGACTTGAACAATGTACAAGATAAGCTTTGCGTTTTAAGAAGTGAGAATCACAAAGTTTACATTCAATTAGCTCATCTTTATGATGATCAATGACATGTTTGCTCAAATCACCTGATCCAGAAGCTTCAAATTTACATCCTTGACATTTAAATTTACTTTTATTCTGTTTGACAAGTACTTCAACTTCCTCATGTTTTAATGCATTTTTACCACTTTCTTCTACTGATAGAACCCTTTCTACCTCTTGAGCCTCTTCAACTGATACTATTGCAGCCTGGTCATCATTTGCCATTTTACGTGCATGTAACGGAGTTGTTAAGTGTTTATCTAGGCAATATTTACTTGAAAAGTTCCTCACACACACTGTACATTTAAATGGTTTATCAGCTACATGTAATCTTGTAATATGAAGCTTTAAAGCTGAAGGGTAAGCAAATGTTTGTTCACACTCCTCACATGGGTACCTTGACTTTCTGGAACCTCTTTCCACAGGTGGAACTACTTTAGCATCTTGATGTCGATACAGAATATGGCGTCTTAATCTTTTTATACTGTTTTGTTTCAATCCACAGAACTTACACTTTAACTCAACAACATCTTTTAGGACACAAATCTTTTGATTTTTTGCTTTTTCAATAGCTTTGATATGACTTGAATGACAGACATGATCCTTTAATTCTTCTCCATCCACACATTTAATTCCACATAATAAACAGGTTAATATTCCTATTGGATTATGACATTTCTTCAAGTGTTCCTCAGTAGCCACATGGGCAATCAGATCAGAATGTCTGTTAAAGTAAAAATTACATATTTGACATTGGTGAGCACATAATTTAGCTATGTAATTTTCATATTTTGTTAATAATGTTAAATTCTCAGCATGACCCATTGATCTATTCCTGTGAAAAGCTGTCATCAAATGTCGAACAATGTCATGTTTGCCTTTAAATTTTTTGTCACAAATGGTGCAGATATGTTTCTCACAAACGTTGTCTTCTCTTCTCTTTCTTTTTCTAGATTTATCAAGTTCTCGTGTATTTTTAACCTGATCACTTGATTGATTTTTTTCTTGTACTGAAGGTAATTTACCTGAATCTGTTATGGTAACAGTTGAGGGGTCAGACAAGGGTGATGTTTTAACTTCCTCCACTTGGTAAGTATTTTCACCAACATTATCAATCGTTGTTTTAATTTTGAGAATAATCTTTTCACCAGTATTACTCCCAGAATTTTCCAATGTGTCAACGTTAATGGGTTTGGATGAATCTTTAGTAATTTCCATAGGTGGACTTAGACTCATCTCCATTGCTCTATTTATTGATTCAGAATCAATTATATCTTGTTTTTTTCTTATTTCTTTATTTCTAGCCTGAGCCAATGATTTGTGACTTTTCTCTCTACAATGAGCAGAATATGAATGACAATTACTGAATGATACATTACAGACAGCACATATATATGTTTTACCAGTGGAACTTGAGGACTTCAACAATGTTCCTGGTTTCCATTTCCCTCCAGGAATTTTCTTTCCAGAATATTTATATCGCAATCCAGATGGCTGTTCTCCAGGTTTCCACTTTCCACCAGTATGTGAGTTGGGAGGTTTGTCATCTTCTTCTAAGTCGTCTAATTCATCAGCTGATGGAAAATTAGTAATGTCATCATCACTACTAAAATCTAAATTATTCAAGAAATTAGTAATAGATAATGATTCTAAATTACTATATATATTTCGTCCATCATGATTTACACCAGGCTTTCCCTTATTTGGTGATTTACGACTTTGTAATTCAAGTGACTGAAAAAAGGAATCTGTTGATGGAGACGTCATGGATGTTGAGGTTGTTGGAAATTCATCATTCATAAAACTGTGCAGTTGATGTATATCTAATGTTAAACTATTCATAGTATTAGAATTTGTTTGGTTGTTTGAAGGGGATATATCTTCAGGAAACTCTTGGATATTAGGTAATAAATTGTAAGACATGTTACCATTTGTGGATGAAGTTGCAGCAGGTAGAGATTGCAAAACAATGTCAGTGATAGGTTCATCTGATAGACCTCTTGTGGTTGACTTTTCCTCAGAAGTTAGTGTATGAATATTAATATTTACATTTGGAACAAATGATGCTGGTTGTAGTGAATTCAGTTCTGAAGGGCAGCTTGACTTATTATTAGTTGGTGGTGTAGAAAAGTCATCAATTTGATGAACACCTGAATCTAATATGGTCTTTGGTGAACATTTTGTTTGTTTGTGTGTGACATAGTTCATCAAACCATTGATCTTCTCGTTACAAGTTAGACACAGGTGCATATCATTATCTCCTTCCATCTCTGAAAATAAAAAAGCCATTTATCCACACACAAAAATTAAAGCACATTTACTCTCAAAATGGTATGGATAATTTAAGATTGTCTTGATGAAGAAAACATTATTTTTGAAACAAGATTTGATGTAAAATATTCATTTATAATTTTATCGACCCACAGTCATTCCAAGACAGATGGCAAGCTATCAAGATTTTTTGATTTGTTGAATGGTAGAAAAATCTAACTTTGAGCTCAAGTGTCATCAACATAAATATACAAAAGTTTATCAAGCAGCCGTGATTACTCTCAACATGACGTAAATCTATAAAGATACACTGTAACTCTAAACCACAGTGAGCTCAGGTATATATTTATTTACGCCATGTCGATAGTAAAGAATAATCATCCACTGCATCATATACTTTTGTATATATTTATATTGTTGACACTTACTATGATATTGTGTGTATAAAACAATTCAATGAAACACATACCATTGTTCAAAATGTAACTGATCTGCAAGGAATATTACAATGGTGTAACCTTTTTTTGTGCTTATAAGGATTCAACACCGAATTTCGTCAAAGTTAAAAAACAGAATTTTTCTTTTATGTCTTAGATGCTTCCTCTTATTTTCTACAAAATAATTAAAATTGGTTTGTTTTGATTTTCTTCATTAATCCCTCACTTTGACCCATGAGTAACCAACTTGACAACGGCGGCAAAATGTGACACCTACTTTCGAGTACAATGTTTGATTTAAAAAAAGTTGAGAAAAACACGTATGGATACCCATTGGTATAATTGACTACTCTTAGTATTTATCTTTAATATCAATTCGTTATGACTAGTAACAGTTCCTTCAAAGAACCATGATTTTAAAAAAAAATTGTGACTGACAAAATAAGATACGTAGCGTGATTTATTGCTAAAAGTCATTGAAACAACATAAGAATATGGCCCATGCACTTTGTGTCCATATAATTTTTCTGCTGACACAGAATCCGCTAGTTGATCACGTGACTTCATTCGTTGGACTACATTCGAGCAGATGACACTTGGAATTCCGATTACAGCTTGGGAAATTCGGCCGATAAAAAATTTGGTAATAACTGAAATCTGCCATTTTGTATTTGTCAAAGTATACATGTACATTAATACATTTTACCCTGCTTGAAACTACTGGATTCATTCTTCTAGCTGATATTATAGAGATAAACCATGTTTATCAAAACAAGCAAATGCGGAGGTCACGCGAGTTCGCACATGTAAATTATTAATCCTTTCCGAACATGCACGAAAAATAGGTTAGCACAAAATTAGGTTACTTAACTGTACTAGTAGGCCTATTAGATTGTTGTCTGAATATCAGTACCTACTGTCAGAAACGTTGTTATTTCCCTTTGACCATACCAATGCTTTCAATTTAATGAATAATTACTCTGCATGTAGGATAACAACACACCAGTTTATAACATCCTTAATTAACCTACAATAAAAAGGCTAGTTTTTATCATAACCCATACCAATGTCATTAAATCTTACAATCACAAAGCTAAACTCATAATCATAATCACAATTTGTCAATGTTTCTTGTCGTCCTTGTGCTTCCATACTACGATCATTGATAATATTTCTAACAATGTGTTGCATCTAGTCGTAAATACAAGTTGTTGTTATTACTGCGATTATCTATTTGCAATTGATATTCACCAATAAATACTTGCGGTTTAGTATTCTTTCGAGTTACAGTCAAGGAAATTATTGATTACGTTGAAGTTTCCGTAGTTTTTAGCCGGATGCAGGTGCCCTTTAGTAGGACATGCGCAATGGAAATTTGTCCTGACATGACCTCAACAAAACAAATCCGGGTCGTGGTTGGTGATTGAGGTAGGAAGCATCTGGTCGTGCTAGACAAACGTGCGCTACTTTTAAATGTACACACAAGAAGATCACATGAAATCCACTGACAGCCAGAATTAAGATGACAAGGAGGAAGCAGAACTACCCAAAGAGATTGAATTGTAAGTCCAATTAGTTTTAATGTGTGTGTTCTATGTCTGTCGTCTGCTACAAAAATCGACTCTTGGCCTACTGTCAAAAGTTGTCACTCGCACTGTCAGTGGCCGAGTGTTCAGATTGTTGTCAATTTCACATGCTGTATCTCTCTAAATTTCCTTTGAATAATATATTTGTTATGAGCATTTGGCTCGATGTATTAAGTCGTCTAGAATTTGGAAATAAAGTTGTTTGTCTGAATTTGAGAGATTTGAGAAGTAGCAGAGAGACATCTGCTATTTATTTTTGGCACATCAATCAAGTCGTTCATAGCCAAATGTCAATCACTTGTCAGGCAGTCTTTACGGCGCCATCCAATCAATTGAGACTAGTTATCAATCATTGGAAGCTTTTATTGTAAATGTATTTGTTTAACACTACAAACAAAGAAGTGTGTCTCCACTCTGACAGGTAGTGAGGATAGGTTGTATTTAGTTTTTGTGTTCAACTATATAACCTAATAGCAACCTATAAATATAATGCATCTATGGTGTTTATGTGAAATATGAACTACTAAACTACTTCTTACATTTAGGCATTTGCAATTCTAATCTAAATTAAATTTAATAATTGCTCTCATGACAAGTGAGAAAAAATTATGATTGGAATAAGCTCAAATGAAATGAATCTACAAGTTTAAAGCTGAGTTAAACTTAAAGAAAGGTTGACTTAATGGATGGAATTCTGAAAGTTTAATTCTGATCTGGATACTTAAGGATGGTAGACCAACACTAAGATACTGTAGACTCACAGTTGCATTTATTCATTTGTAGCTGAAATTTTACCAATAGGTCAAGAGAAATTCGCAATATTACTCTTATAGTTTTTGAAAACAATTGAGGTGAAGACATTGGCTTTTAAAAATTTTATTAACAAATCCTCGGTGTCATGGTATTATGCAGGTTAAGAGTGACTGAATATAAATCTTTAGGTTATCATAAAATTCATATTATTGTTGCAATCTTTGCCTCCTTTTATATAGATATAATTTATCTTGCATGATAATTGAATAAGGATTCTCATGAGATATACATTGAAAAAAAACATAGGCAACTGATAGTCTTGGGGTATTGTGGTGTTAGGATTTTGGAT